ACGACAATATCAAAAAAGGATGAAAATTATAATTTCGCAAAAGCAACCACCACCACCACCACACCACCACTATCATCATCATTTACTATGTCATCGATAAATACTAACTCAGCTTCTTCAACTATCCAACCGAAAATGCCATTGGGCGATTCGACAAACGCGTATAACACAACCATGGTTGATGATTATCCACCAATCGATGATCCCCCTTTATCGCTACCAACCGATCCGAGTCAAATCAATGATAAACTCGCGTCTGTAGATTCGATTATAATAGAAGAAGAAGAAACAGTGGAGATGGAAGGGATAGTAGGAAGCACAAGTACTTCAAACAAGACAAAAGACAATTTGCAGTCTAATTCTATTACTGAAGATCAGGACTTTAATAATGATAATGATAAAGGGAAGGGAAAGGAAAATTGGGAGAATGTGATTCCGTTGGGTTCTGACTCGTTTAATGATTCCACAAGTACTCTGAATCAAGATAAATTCAAATCATCAAGTATACCATTTGGGAAACAGCAAGATGTGACTGGTAAAAAAAAAACGGAACTTTTTTCCTCAAGTATTTTCTTAAACAATAAAATTTATCTATTTCTGTATATCTTGACGTGTCTACACAGAATGCATGGATAATGTCATGTTTCAATTGGAAGCTGCTCTCAAGCCCACAATAAGTGATAATGGTGTTACCGAGGTTACCGAGAAAACCAGAAATATAGTAAAAAGGTTAGAGGTATATCTTCTTGTTGATCTTATTCATTTCCTAAAAAATTCTATATTGATGCTTTAATATTTCGAACTTCGATCAAAAGTCTATTTTACGGGAAGACAAAACAATTGCTAAAGTATCAGGATCCGAGTTCAGGGGAAATGGTTCAAGCCACCAAAGAAGAGACATTCAACCATCTGATATCCTTTAATAATCAAATTTCGTTAATTTTATTTTTCTGAAAATCGAATTCTTAACCTTAAATTTTTTATTTTACATTGTTGTGGTTTCAGAAGGAAGAGATTTATATAATGGACTTGATGTTTACTTTGACGAATCACAAGTGGGTTGGCCAAGTAGAGAAAATTACTAATATCCTTATCTTTTTATCGCTAAAGTATTTATATTTTCCATAGGTGGATTTTAATGGAACACAAGCTGAACGCGAAGTTACAATTATCGAGTTACCTCCGATCCTACAGATTCAAGTGCAGGTACATAAAATAATTTATTAACGCTAAAATTTGCATTAAATATATTCTTTTTCATGTTTACACGTAAATAGCGGGTACAATTCGATCGAGTTACTTCAAATGTATATAAATCAAATGCTTATATCAAATTCGAAAAAGAGCTTTACCTCGACCGATATATGGAGCAGAACCGTGAGATGTTACGTGGAAGACGCGAAATAGCACGTGAATGGAATCAACTTCTCGACCAATATAATCAAGAACTTGATGAATTTGGTATCGATAAGGTGTGTATTTGTGCGTCTAAGCTCCATATCAGCATTCCTTGATCTTCTCGTCATATTTGTCAATCCTTAATCATTATTATATTGATAATGAATTCCAGACGATCAATTTACCAGCTGATGAAATACTAAAAAGAACCTATAGATTCATTGTCACACAGTGCGAAAACGAGAATACGGATAAATTGGAATTTAAAGATGATTTTTTTAGATTTAAAAATGATAGCGATGATCTAAAAAGACGGAAAGAAGGTAACTTTTATTATAAGTATTATTATGTATATTGGAAAATTGCACTCTTCTTATGTATCAATTTTTTATCAAATCAATTGATTGGTCGATTGAATAGTGACGAAAAACAGTGTTTCTGAACTGCAAGATCAGCTAAAACACCAATACGATGATTTAAGGGAATGCGAGTATCGAATACATGCAGTATTCATACATAGTGGTATTGCATTTATTACGTATTTTTTTCTTAATGTTGCTTGTATATACACATATAGATAGATAACAATGAACAAAAAAAAATAAAGGTCAAGCATCATTTGGTCACTATTGGATATACATATACGATTTTGAACTGGAGCGGTGGCTTAAATATAATGATACTGAAGTGTCAGAGGTACTTTCTCTAGATTTTTCGTATATTGTGTAAGTGCGCATTATTATTAAAAAGACGACTAATCTGTAAATTTATGTAGGTTGGAGAAACAGAAGTCTTTGCTGATACCTCGGGTTCATCAACGAATCCTTATTGTATGGTGTACGTACGAGCACAAGGTATTTACTCTTTTCGTTTAAGTTTGGAATACGTTTCTTATTTATTAATATGATTTGATCTAATATTGGTCGAGTTTCACGGAGTAATATATATACATTTCATATCATTACTTTTTACTTGATACGTATTAGATTGTAAACGATTGGTCAATACTGTGTGTCGTAGGCCAAACTAAAAAAAAAATCATTAATAAAGATAACTAATTAACAAGTTAAAATCGTAGCAAAGGGAGAAAAATATTTGTTCTTTCAATGGGAAAATAGGGTGAAGCTTGATTTGGTTTTTGATACACTAGTAAGTTTAGATAGAATATTGTGTACTTTACAACATAACCCTGTATTGTATCGTGTATGTAAATAATTTATTATTGTATTTTCCGGTGGGCATGTCGGCTGACTCCATCTTCCATCACTAGGCTAATTTGTATTGCCCTTTAAAAAAAAGTAGCAAAACCGATTAGTGAGGTTTTTGTTAAAGTTAATAATGTTATTATTATCATTTTCAAGATATTAAATTTAATCGATCAACTAGCAAAAAAAAGAAGATTGACTGTGAATGACCGCGTGTATGGCTTTGAAAGTTAAAAAACAATTATTAAAAATAACGACCCTTTCCTTTTTTTTGGGGATCTCAAGCCAATTTAAATGGAAAAATCAATGTTCGCAGATCATGTAGATAATTTAGCCAAAATCATCATAATTTCTTATGATTAATAGTGGATTTTTTTAAAATAGTGGTATGGGTCAGTGCAAAAAGATTTGTACCTCAGATAAAATTAATAGATTATTTTTTCAAAATAAAATTTTAATTCTGTCTTATTTAATTAAGTTATTAGATATTGGGATTTATTTAAATATAAAAATTTTTATTATATATCTTTTATAAAAAAATTTTTACTAATAATAACTTTTTTCAATTATTATTTCTTAAATTTTACTATATAAAATTTAATTAAAATTAATATAAAAATTATATAGTAAATAATTTAATTACTCAACTTTGAATCTTAATATCTTTATAACTACTGATTCAATTTTTATGAAATTTAAAATATATATTTATCAAATCCAGAACAACCTGCTTGTGTAATTTAAAATATTGCAAATTGATAGTAATAATATTTAAAATATTCTTTTTTTTAAAAAAAATAATTTTATTTTAGTTTATTTTTTTTAGTGAAGTAATGCTTCATTTAAAGTATAATAGAATAGTTAAAATAATATAAACAGTTAATAAAGATTGGTTAAAATTTGAATGATTTTTATTAGAAGCAATTATTGATTTTTATATTGAGGTACAAATCTTTTTACACCAACCCATAATTTGTGAAATATATAATTTTATATAGCTGAATATTATATAAATTTGCTAGTATAATTCTTTATATCTTTCTATAGTCACAGTTTATATAGGTCTGACCTGTAAATAGAAACTAATCCATTTTATGGCTGCATTAGTTCGATGTTCCCTACTAAACGAGGGCACACATATACGGCAATCCAGCCTCACTAAAGAATCTTCCTTATGGAAAGATTAGTTATATAGCATGTACGTTAAATAGTATCTCATAGTCGATACAAAGATTTATTATCTTTTTATTAATTTCGAACGACAAAGCATCGCCAGTACACATGGAAGGCGACGACCAGATATTATATTAAATATGAATTTATGTAGCTCACGTATATTTTATACCTTTGGATGAGGCTGTAAAGCTATGGCGCGAAAACCATATATTGGGTCTACGAAAGCTGTAAACCTGAGAAGGATATATCGGATTACAAGTTGCAGGGACCTTTTTTACGATAGCGCCAATGTGGATCTGTATTAACTTATATGAATTAAAAATTCCTGTGCAATATTTAGATTCTTTGTTAGTAATAAATTTATAGAAGCATGTGTAATATTTCGATAGTCAATATGACATTATTATAAATCCAAATCCGAATCAAAGAACAAAAATAATTAAGAATGATGGAATGACTAATTCCAATATTCCCAATGAGCCTGAAATTTATTCTTGCGATGCCACAAGAAAATATTTAAGTTAGAATAATTGAACTGTGAAGAACTTCAGCAATTAGCACAGAAATTTGCGAAAAAAAAGGTACGGTGCACGTGATTTTTTAAAATCAAATCGCAAGATCAATATGTAAAAATTAAAACGTTTATTTTTTGAAATAGCTAAATTTTACTATATGTCTCTACGAGCATTATAATAATTCGTAAATTTTTTCGTCAGGCTGGATACTAAAAAGTTAATTTATATGGTGCAAACAGTCTAAAACATCCAAATATTTAATACATTATTAAACACCGTATTCTCTCGGGAATAAGCACCACTTGACTGCCATTTTTTGGCACCCAAAATAGGGCAGTTTCTTGAACCTCTATCGGATTCATCCGAGAATAAACAACATCTGGGAATAAGCATCACTCAATCAATATAGGTGATGCAGTAAAAGAAATAGAAGAGAAGTTGTAAATTGAGAAAATTTTTTGAAAATTGAATATATATTATAATTAGTAATATAATATTTTTAATTAATCTAAGGTAGTGCTTATTTATAATGGTACTTATTCATAATTTTCTTACTTTTTGATCTAAACTGGAGTGGTGCTTATTCTTAGGTGGTTCCTATTATCGGGAGAATACGGTAGTCTTTGATAAGTTCTATAACATTACGCATTTACAGTATGTTGTTTGTTATTTTATAAAAATTATTTATATGGTTTGGGACACAATAATCCATCCAATAAATTAACCGAACAAAATTAAAATAAAAACTTCTTGAAACATATGTTCACAGTAACTCAACGTAATTTGATTAGGATACACAATTCTATATTAATGATATCTGCAATTTTGTTTTGACGAATTGATGATTGACGAAATCTATGACTATCGTTTCTTTTCTTTAATTACAATACATAAGTTAAAGTATATGTAATTTAGGGTTAAATAATCAAATAGAATCTTTAAATCCCTGACTTTTTACAGATATTTTTAAAATCGGACCGATAACTTTGTTCTTAGATTCTGATGTTTTGTCACGTGATCGTAGAATATAGATATTTTCACGTGATTTTATTTCTAGCCAATAAGCTTTTTCACGTGATTATCTAAACCATGACCTCTATAGTTAGGCTTTTTAACGTGTATTATTTTTGAATCTCATCTAAAACTTCCCTAATAATCATATTATTAAAGATCGATTAAGAGAGCAAGGTCAATTTGCTGATTAGTTTGTGCCACATCATATGGAACGATTTTTCCGAGTGCTATGATATTGGCGATCTCCGCAGATATCTTGAAATGAACATGGCAGCCATTACTATTGCGGACAGTCCTTTCCTTTCATATACATAGATTCCGAACGAAGCTCATAAAGATAGCGCGTACCATATCAATTTTGATCAGCGGCCGATGACTTCAGGGGAAAATTAACAAGATGAAAATGCTGTAAACAATCCTTTAGACCGATGAAATTTGTTTTGGTACATTATTGTTACGGAATGGAATAGATGCACTTTAACTATTTTTTTTAGCAATTTTGCGAGTTATTGTAATCACATAAATTTGTCAGTCAAGCAAAGAAAAATCTTTGGTTAAACCAGTAGCATTTCAGATTTGTTGAATTTTGTCTTCTCCAGTTGTAATTAATTATAAGAAACAGTGTAGAATGTCTAATCTATGTATATATATATAAAGTTTAAGAAGAATGTATATATTTCGTAGTTGAGGTATGTATCAACACAAAAATCACCGAACACAATTACACTTCACACGTACATTAAGCACACGTGTCTGTCTATCTAATTTTTAAAAAAAATGCGTAAATTATTGATTGATTAAATGGTTGTATGTATGCATGTATATTAATGGAAAAGGATAAAATACAAAATATAATATAATATGGATGCGAATAAGAAGGGAATTAAAACCGCCTAATCCTAAACCCTAAATTGAGCCTAATCTAACCAAACCTTAACGAATGAGAAGAATAATAGTAATAGTAATAATAAAATGGATGCGTATATTAAAACAAGAATGTATATAAAGTCTATAGGTATTAATAACAGTAGTAATAGCAAAATGTAAAAAGAAAAAGGGAAACCCAAGATTTAGAATCTGTACATTTATAAAAGGTAATAAACCAGAACAAAAAAGAGATGCGATGATGTTGATGTATAATGAATAATATATGAGAAAGATGAATGATGATTGTAGTTGTGGAAAAGGGAATAATGAATATTATATGGAAGTCAGTCGATAATGTCATCGAGACAAGTCCTTAATAGAGCCGATAAAGACCGTCTAACTGATTAATTATTACAAGGGATATGGTTGAAGAACTTGTAAAAAAGAGATTGCAAATTGATGATGATAAATACCAATTAAAAAACTTGGATCTTAAATAAAATTAAGGGAACCGGCCCAAGGGTATTATTTTTTCTCTTATAGTTTATTAGAATATTATCATTCATTACAATAATATCTATTTGCAATCGATCAATTGATCCTTTTGTTTGTTCTTTATTTCTGATTCTTTATAGTTCTTTTTACAAATTATCCCATGATGACGTTGATGATGTTGATGATTGATTGATTGGTTGATATTGACTGAGAGACACGATTAATTCGCCAAACCAAATGATGATAAACCGACCAAATAAATGAAATGAAATGAAATGAATTATATTATTGCCCTCCATCCGAATAGAAAGATTAAAGGTGTGTACGTGTGTATGTATAAAAATAATCTACTATTTAGAATGTTCGATTAATCAAAAAAAAAAAAAAAAGGAAATCACTTGAAACAAAACTCTCAATGAATTAACTCTAATTGATAATTACTATTATTACTATTATTTATTATTGTTACTTGTTGTTATTGTTTTTAAAGTTTAAGTGTTGTATAGATTGCGTTGAGTTGTCGTTGATCTTCGCTATTTCTAATTTTTTCCCAAGGAATATCCTGTGGTGGTAATTGTTGACCATTGCTATTATTATTACTTGACTGTTGGATATGATGCGATGATGAAGAATGAGGGGGGTATGAGGATGGGAATGGTGATTGTTGTGGTGGTGGAAATACGAATCTTCCAGGAGCAGGAATATTTATTGGCTGTGATCCGCCAGAGAAGCTTGCTCCGGATGTTGAATTTGATTCGGATGGTTGAATGTAGTTAGCGGGTGGATATGACGGCAACGATATACTTGATCCATTTGAATTTGAGCCAAGATGTGCTCCAATTGCAGATAGATTCTGTCGACGATAATCAGTATAATCTTCTTCAATTGTCGAGGGTGAAGATGAAATTGATGGCGTCGAGCATGCTGAATGTGGAGTATCAATTTGCATCGGTTCTTGTCCACCTGAGGAATGTCGATGTTGATGATGAGCATGTGAAGAATTATTGCCACCATGAAGCAGTGCGTTTGGTAGGCTACCAGGCAGATGAGATGAAGTTGGTTGTGGCAATTGCCAATATGGATTCGGTGATAAAGATCGCTCGATTCGACTATCACTCGATCCGAAATTGGAGTTATGATGATGATGATGATTGGGATGATGGTGATGTCCATGATGACCACCATGATGTGAATTACTGGGTGACGGATAATGACCCCCATGTGGACCGACGGTACCATCAACATTTTGAGTTTCCGGATACATTCCTTTTGGGATCTGAATGATTTTAAGTTTCTCATCCTGCAATGGGATCTGTAATTTCTCACCGATGACATCAGCTTTGGTGTAATAACAGATCAAATGAAGCTTTTGATGATTATTTGTCGTGATACTGAACGACTGTTTTACCAATCCACCGTGCTTATATCGACATTGTTCCGTGGTTGTGGTGATCTTTTTCCCGCTATTACTATATGATTCGCTAGAATCCGTATCCTCACTTGACAAGTCATTCGGATTATTGCTCCCCCGCGAATTGGTCTTTCGTTTTGACTCCAATTCACGATATGTGAGAAAACTTCCACTTACTCGACTGGCCGACCAACTTTTTCCGTCTGTCCATCTTCTCATCCCGGCCTCACGTTCATCCCACACGAATACTGAACCCGAGCGTATCGCCGATCGTTCTCTTTCGGAAAGACGACGTTGTATACGTGCCAAGTACCCAATACGGCATGCCTCGAATAGTAATATAGCGTCTTGTGGTGTTTTTACGTAACCAAAATATGTTTCCATTTTTGAGAGAGTTGGTGTTTTGAGTGCTTTTATATATTTGTACTAATACTACTACTACTATTATTATTATTATTATTATTATATTATTATTTTTACTATTAAACGTCTATATGATTCTGTTGAGAGGAGTGGAAAGAAAGAAAAGATGGAAAAGAATAAAGTTAATAAAAAGAAACTTGAAGAAAGCTAACATGATATTTAGAGTTTTTGGTTACTAATCAATTGGCGCAGTATTAGAAGAAATACCCTTTTAATGCTTTGTAATATTAATATCACAACTGTGAAATAATAAACTTTTTGCACTTATATCATAAAGTGTATTTTATAATCTACACTTTTTTCGTCTTGAACCCTTATAGTATAAAAAGAAATACAACAACATACCTGATATATGTAGTCTATTTATATATTTATATATATTTATTTATATATATATATATGTGTGTGTGTGTGTGTGTGTATTATAAAGTATATAACAAAAGTGTGAATGTGCGTATATATATACGTGGTGTGCGAAATGTGTGATGTGTACGTGAAAATGAACTATTGAGGCGACAATTTTTTTCTGATGTTGTTGTTGGTACAATGCTATTGTTGCTGTTGATGTATGTAGCTTTCTATTCTATTCTATATATGTTACTCTAATAGCAGGAATTGTCGCGATGATTACAAAAGGTTTCTTTTTGGAGAGCCTGATTATCTATCTATGGAGAAGAAGTAACAGCACGCTTCTTCCGCCTCTCCCTTGGTGTATGATATGTATCTTCTATAATTGTTGTTGACAGTATTCTTTGGTTTGTCGTTCTGTTCCCTTTTTTTCTTTTTCTTTCAGATTTTGAAATAAGTTGAAAAGTCTCGAGAAAACTTTTAGGTATGTTATTGTCGTGGTTGTTATAATTATTAGTATTATTATTATCTATTATTAGGTAGTGGTAATAATAGTTGGTGGGTGGGTGGTGGTAATAGCAAAAGAGTATTATTCTATTATGATTAGATATTATTAAAAGTTATTAATTATTATGATAATTGTTTATTAAAATTAGTCTATTTTTATTTTGGTTTCGTTCTTTTCTAATGTAAATCTCTCTATATCCCTATCAAATAATACTACCAGCTTATGATCAGTCAATGACCACGAATTTTTGGTTGATTCTTATTAGAAGGGAGAGGGAGAGAGAGAAACGAGAATAGAGAGCAGAGTACAGAATGATTCGCGTACGCGGGTTAAAAATCAAAAGGTAAAAAAAAATCCGAAAGAAAAAGAAAAAAAGTGGGAAGAGGAGGAAAAAGGGAAGAATAAAAAGGTGTGCGTGTGTGCGTGTGTGAGATAAGCGTTTTGAGCGTAAACGTAAATATGAATGTTAATACCAAATTAAAAATGAGGGTGGGGTGGGGTGTGTTGATGAGTAATGATGTGGGAAAATAACAATGATAATATAAAATGGCAATATAAAAGGTGATTGAAATCACACATACATACATACAGGTACATCGCTATCTAGTTAAAACAAAAAGTGTTGTGTAATAAATGCTGTGATATTTGGTTCGGGAGAAAGAAAAGGGGAGGGAGTAGCGAGTAAGAGCAGGTTTGGGTGGACAGAAATTAATTAATAAAGTACATACATAAACGGGAAAATGTTATGTACTTGCATGATATTCTTTAAAAATAGGGTATTTGATCCTTTGTTTTTAGAGCTTGATTTTCAGCGTGTGTGCGAGGTCTAGTCGATTGTTGGTTAGATGTTGAAGTAACACCTAATCTATCTATCTTTCTACTTATCTCTATATCTACATTTATTTATTTATGATAAATAAAAATACATATATATATATATATATATATATATATATATATATATATATATAATGAATGAATGATTCGCCCCTCGAACACGAATTGAATTTCTCGGATGTCTGTTCTCTTTATTAGTTATTTATGCATAATTAAATTGATAAATAAACAATATATATTGTAGTCACCATCATCTTAGTTTGATTTTTCTTTGTTTTGTTGTAGATGTAGATTTGATTTATTGACATGTAATTAACTAATTAATTAAAGTAATTTAACACACGCACGCACAATTAAAGTAAATTAAGCATAATGTTATTAAAAATATATTTGATCCGGTTATTTTTGTTTGGATGGATCCCCGCACCCACCAGTTTTTGATTGTTCCTTCCTTTACTTCTTTATTTCTCTTCTTGTAACATCATTTTTATTTATTTACATACATGTGCTCGACAACCTTTTTTTTTCTCGTTATTGTTTTTTCTTTAAATTTCAAATTTCATCACACTTTTTGTTAGATGTTTCGCTATTGTTATTGTTCTATAAATAATGACGATAGAGAAACCCTAAAAAAAAAAAGATAACGATGAATGATAGGTAAGCATTTATTTTTAGATTTTGAATTGTTTGATTGTTTAAAGTTTCGTGTTCGTGTACCCACCAATCAACCTAGTTCCACCACCCATGTTTTAAATTTAGAGTTTATTCTCTTCGTGTATTACCCTTTATCGGATCAAAAAAGCTTAAATATATTTGAAAAAGGAAAGAGGAAACGGAGGGAAGGACGGGTATTATTGCCGCATTTGTCCTATTTGACCCTTTCTTTATATCATTATCTATGCGATAACAAAAAGTGATATAAACATGTAAATATAATGGTAAATGGGTAAATTGTTCCCAAACATATATATGTCCATTCATTCATATACTTTAAGTACTCGTTCAACTGTTAATTTTTAATTTTGAATCTTAATTTTAATTATTTTTT